TCGACAATACTCGCTAACCTTTTACATTATTCCTTTTGACAATTTTCGGGATGTTTTATTCTTTTACCAAGTCCCTAAGTTTTGCTTGTGAGGTCTTCCCCCCTTTTTGAGTTTTTCTATGGTGCTTTTCTCTCGTCAGTGAGTTGGTTTCTCTTTTATTTTTCAGTTTCTAAGGTGAATGGTGAGGAAACCTTCGTCCTAATAAAACATAAGCCCCAAACAAAATAGAATAAAAAGCAAAAATAAAAGTAACTAAAAATAATGCTCAGACTTGGTTCCTTACACTTTACAATAATAATAAAAAACCAAAAAAACTGCCTGCCATCTTGTGGTATGAATGAGTCATCCTCCCATTTTTTATTTTGACAGTCAAAACCAAATTAAACTTAAATCTAAATTTAAACACAACAAACACACATACTATAAGTTAAATGAGTTCGAATCAGTTTGTAGCTTCTTCAGGTTCACTATGAGAAAAAAGTTTTTATTGTTGAAATTCTTTTTATAGTGTAACTTATTGATATTCTGCTGTGTGAAAATCAACTGTTTGAGAAAGTATTGCAATTAGTTTTTTCAAAATTGGACATCTCATATATGATACACTGGATCTCTAGGTATGCATTGAATTACTTATGACCTGGCAGTATATTTTTTAAATGCTGTTAATACAATACAATAATTTAAAAGTTTTTTAATGTTCCAATATTTTAAAATTACAAAATCACAATTATTAAAAAGATTTTAAACAAGAGTTAGTAAAATAAAATAAACTTTTAACTATCCAGCAATAAATAATGTTTAACAAAAACGTTTTGAATTGTTTTTAAACGGCCATTTTCAGTTGAACCAATACTAAAAAAGAACACTAAAAAAAAAGAACGCATGAAGTACAAATTAAACAGAAACCGAAATGTGCATGCGTACTTCATCGGACTTGCGTCTTCTGAAAATCTATAAATAACTTGCAAATAACATAAAAAAATAATAAAGCCGCTAAAAAAAGGGGGAGGAGAATATTTGTTGATTACAAGGTGTTAATCTGCGTTATTGTAAAAGGATTTCCAAGCATAAGATAACATTTTTGCATCTCTATGATTAATGCATCCCTTATTTATGTGTGCCTTCTGTATCTCTATCTTTTCAAGGTGTTTCAATGCTTGTCTGGAATTTGCGGCTCTAGATAGATATATATACACGTATTATCGATACATAGGCACACACAAATTTCAGTATAAGTTCTTGTTTTTATTTACAAGAGTTAGTTCAAACCATTAAAAAAGATACCTAGAAAAGAACTTTTGAATTTTTTTTGTTGGTATTTAGCTGTTGCTACTCTGTGAACTTCTGGATTATTTTGTTGGTATTTAGTAGCAGCTTGTAAGAGCTTTTTTTTCTAATTGTGTTTGTAAATCTAGCACGATGTTTTTTAGTACGTTTCTCAAAGCTGGGTATTCTATCAGAGTTAACTGAATTAAAAATGGATGTTGACAATTCAACTGCATAAGGCAAATAAACATCAAAATGTCCATGAGACAGGTCTTGCATAGAACTAAAATGCAGTCGCTTCACTGGGTTTCCTTCTACACCAAATTTTTCATACAGCTCGCCATTGTAGTAAACTTTGAAAGTTAACGGAAATATTTGTCTCGCTGCTACTAACTCGCATAAACCTCCATAAGTATGAAATCACGACATATCGTCAAAGTATTCGACAGAACTGCTATAATTATTTCCATCATTATCATGTTACATAATTGAAAAATCATCCCAGTGACTCATCACGTAACCCACTATTTCTGCATGTACTTCTCTGGCCTTCACTTGAGTGTCATACAAAACAAAGGATATTGCTCTAAAGAGGCAAGCTCCATTGCTTATAATTGGAACGATGGTGTGGGGTGTCATAACACCATTTATATTTATTATTTTAACAACCATAGTTATTATGTAATTTATAACAATCTAAATGTATAAAATTATTGCGTTAAACATACCCCTTATTACTGAGAATCTTCTAATTCAATTGAACGTTTTCAATCTGACCAATTTTCTAGAATGTTTGCAATCGTTCTATAATCGAACAAATGTATAGTAACAAATTTGAATTTAAAACGGTTTGAACATTTGGTAAAAAATCGTAATACGTAAATATTGTACATTTGGAAATTAAGTTATTACCACCAGAAACAAAAAATCGCATCTAAAATAGTACAGTAGAAGCCGTTCTTTTGGTTAAGCCTTAATACTTTTTATCTCCCCCGCGGGGGAATTTCGAAAAATCCTTTCTTAGTGTGCGTTTCCATGACGAACTGTAACTGTTTACCAAATTTCACCTTTTCAGGTTAAGCGGTTTGCTCTGGGCGATGATAAATCAGTCAGCGAGTCATTCAGTCAGTCAGGACAAGCAATTTTATATATTTAGAGTATAGATGGTCAGAAAAATTGTGCTTTCTAAGCACCTGCCAATCGGCAATAGAGGTAAAACAACTACTAGAACAAGTAGTGATATCAACCCGAGAGAAATGTCTGCCATTGTCAAATGTAGTGGGAGAATGAGGATCATTTATAATAAGTAAATTATTTTCTGCGAAGAATTCTTCGAAAGCCTAGCCCCTATCATCCAGCAAGTCTCTGCCCAAGCCGGAGAGTGAGAATTAATATCTCTGGCAATTATAAAATAGGAAGAAGGGTATGACTCAACCCTTTGGAGACTAGAAAGAATAATGCTAATATTCTGTGGCCTAGGACAGTAAATGTTAATTATGATATATTTAGTATCGCAAATTTGGCTTCTACACAAACCATAAATTTGCTAAATTTGCATAAATGGTGCTAAAAGAAACCAGGTGCAAGATAGGAATATGACTGTGTGGAATGATAGTCGCAGCCCATGGAGTGTTATTGGTTCCTTTAACAATAGAACAGTTAGCTGGAAATGAAGCAGGCTGCCCATGTAAACAATAAGGTTCTTGCACCAAAATTATATCGTAATTGTGTATATCACTTGCCAAGAAAGAACAGGAAGTAATACTTCTCTGTAAGTTAATCTGCATAACAGAAATACTATGCCTAAAATTCTGACCCATAGTTGGTCCTATTGATCAGATTTGCTTTAACCTGTTGAAACAAACTGCACACTGAATCTCATGCATTATGCCTGAACTTCTCGAAGTGGTTATATTTACAGTTGATACATATAGGAGATTCACTGAAATTGGGGCAGTTTTTGAAAGCATGGTTTCCAGCACACTGGCTACAGATGTTATTTTCCTCTGTGCAGTCCCTAGAACTATGTCCGAAGCGACATCTAAAACACTACAGGACTGGACAGAAGTCAACAACCCTACAGTGTGACCAACCAATATTTAGTTTACCTAAAGTAAGCACATGTTTGCGCAAAAGAGGAGAAACTGCAATTACCCAATTCTGGTATTCCCTACTTGCTATACCAGAAGAGAACTTTAGTTGAAATTCCTTTTTAAAATCCTCTTCAGGAAACAACGAATGAAACAATTCATTTTGGTAATAAAGATTACTAAGCAATTCCTCTTTAGAAGCATGTTTAGGGATGGAAAATAACATCAAACGTGGTCTCCACTTTTTTGGTTGTTTAGTAGTAACCTCTGGTATCTGTTTTTTGATATAACTGTCAAGAACATCAATGTCCTTGCTTTTTTCAAGTTCAACAGCAATGCCCCCATTGCTTATTCTTCGAACTCTATCAACGCCAATCTTAATTGCTGATGGATTTGTAAAGTACTATATTATTTTTCCGACTTTCCAACGATTATCGACACTACTGTGTGCCGGAAATAGCCGTTCCCTAACGGGTACTTTACGCGGATTCGCGTTAGTGTGCCAGGCCTGGACTTTAAGCGTGCACCGAATTAAATAATGACAAAGTTTGTCAATAACAAAATCAAATATTTAATTAAACTTCTA